TTTTCAAGGGCCAGCAAACCTATGGTCCCTCCTGATCTCCATCAAACCTATCCTCAACACCACAAGGAGGCAGGGAAGTGCCACTTACAGGTTTTGCAGGTGGAGAGTGGAGGCAAAGAACAACCTGCCCCAACTTGGGGTGAAATCTGCAATCTAGAGAACCAAACCCAGCTCTCTTCACTTCCCAGGTTTCTGCCCTAAAGCACTGGCGTCACTAAGTGAGGTAACAGCTCTACCTTAAAAGTACCAAGATAAGTTACAGTGACATTATTGGAGGAAGCCACGTTTTGCATATAAATGCTATATTCTAGGCCAGCATCTGCACATTTGAGGTTTATTTCTCAAATATCACCACAAACTTTACTAACGACACTAAGCTCAACACACTGATTTGCAGGGCTCTGCTAACCCTGTCCTTCTGTTAGTTAAAAATAAAAAGCAACATTATTTGTGTTTGAAAGCTGACAACACAATTCTGACAGGGTTCTTTACACCCTTTTCCTCTTCACTCTAATGATTTAAAGAACAGCAGAAGGTCCTGATGCACAGTCTTTAGACACACAACCTTGTTCAGACTCGCTGACACTGCAGTCAGTGAACGCATCCTTGCATTTGGCAGGGCCTTAGGACTGTGGCTCTGCATAAGAGTACAACCTGCTGGCTAATCTCTTTGACAGAGTGGACCTTAGAGAGCCAAAATGGCATTGCCACAGGGCTCAGGGTGAAAGACTTACTGCCTGCACCAGGCACAGAAGTTAATGAAAAATGACCGGTTTCCAAAACACCATCTGGCTTTCACAGACTTATGTACAGACACCACAGCCCAAAACCTCTGTGAACTCGACAACAGTGGGTTTTCATAGGGGCAACATGCTGTGGTGTGGTTTGGACTTTGCCCAGCAAGCCTCCAACACGCTGCATGGACCCAAGGTGCAGCCACCATCCTCACATCTTAGGGGAGCTCAAAGATGGGTTTTGGCCACAGGGCAGCAGCCACCACAGAGCAGCAGAGTACAAAGCAAGGGTAAAGTTTGGCTCTCACCTCTGTGCTGGCATATTGCCCATGAGGAGGGCAAAGAAGCTTGAGCACGTCCCACACGCTCCCTGAAGCACAGTTCCCTCCATCAATCCCACCAGAGCCAAAATAAATTGGCACTGTGTCATGCTCAAGAGCTCCTACAACACACAAGAGCAGCCCCGAGAGCCCTCTCAGGCACCCTGTCTGCACTGTGCCAGGTGCTCTGCTAGCAACCCCATCAGGCACAGCTGAGCCTCTCATCCCATTTGGCCTTTTGCAGGGAAGAAGAGAGGCCATTTTAACACAAGGAGCATGCAACATCCTCAGGGCAGGGATCTATTGCTCCCTGTTTATGTAGAAAACATTGAACTGCCTGTGGCACCTTTGGGACTGCGTAAGCATTGAGTGTTTTTCCTCCTTGGAACAAGTATCTCTCTGAGCCCTTCAGCTGATGTGCTCCCACTGCATCCATGCTCCTCCTGTCTCAGCTTCCCACAGATGCTCATCCAGCTGTGTTGCTGGAGCACATGCTCCTGTGGAGAGTATTTAAAAAACCTCTTATGTGCAAATATGCATATGAAGCAAATTTTGAAAGCTTCCCATCCTGCAAGCATTCCCTCCAGAAAACCGGCTCCAAGCGCTATGTTCAGCCAACAAAGCACAAGGAACAATGTCGTATGATTCGGGGCCAAGAGGAACTACACCAAATACCAGGAAATAAAAAAAAGGTGCTTGTGATACCTTCTGTTGAACAATTACCCAAAGCACATTTAGAAAACTGGAAGATATTCACCCCTGTTCCACCTAAAGACCTGCAATTCATTTAGTCATTATTCACCTTAAATTGTTCTTGTGGCCTAGGAACTGGAATATGTAACAACCTCTTAAACCGAGACTGACCACAGGAACACCAAAATACACAGCAGCAGGTTTTTCCCTCAGGATGTTTTCAGTCTAACCAGAAACAGGAAGTCTCCGAAGATTTTGCAAGAGAGCTTTTTCCTTGCGGGATATCCCATCCTAACTGGAGACTTTGCACTGCAAAGTTTTTAGCTGGGGAGCAACAGTTTAAACCAAGAGAGTTGCAAGCCTTGGTCCGCAACATGCCACCAGCACCCAGACACCTCTGCAAATTCAAGAAGTCCAAGGCATCGTGCCTCATACCTCTGAGGCACTCAGCATTAGGCATTAAAACAAACAAGCCACCTTTACTTACTGCCAAATAAACTTCTGTTAACCTGGAGTTGCATTGGCTACTGCTGTTGTAACCTCTTGCAGGCTGAGCGACTAAACTGAGCCCAGCTGAACCCGAGGTATCTGAAAACCCACCCGCAGGCCAACCTGCCCTCAGACAACTGATGTGGTCCCCAAAGGGCTCTTCCCTGTCACTGATCCTCCAGTTCACAAGGCTCACAAGGGGGAGTTTTGGGAAACAGCCTGCCTTTGCCTGGGAAATGGGGCTAAACCCTGTGCAAAGCCTACCTGTGCAAAGCAGAGGAAATTGTTTAAACTCACAAAGGGCCTGCATTGGCTGAGGACACAGCCCAAACACCTCCCCATCCAACCATGTCTCCACCTGAAGAGTGTCTTTTCTACCTGCTCCTTGCTCGGCAGGAGGCTCCAGCTGGGAGCATCCCAAAGGGCCAACTCTGCCAGACCTGGTCAGGTGGAAGGAGCTATACCAGCATCCTGAAAACACTGCAGGGGCCACCAGTTTGGTACTGAAGGTTTAGAGCGATCTGTGCTGTTAGTTTTGAGGACAGAGCTGGATTTCAAGGAGTGAGGAGACCAGGCACCTGTCCTTCAATGGAGCAAAACTCCAAGCTGGGATCTCACACACACAGGACTTGAAAGACCTCTGCAAACACCAGGCAATGGCCTTCACTTTGCAGTCTTTAAGAACATCTCACTCTGTGCTTCTGTATCATGCCAGGACAAGGTACAGAAAAGCTGTATTTTCCAGACTGTAGGGTTACAGAGCACCCATAAGACATGCCAGTCTGTGACACATGAATTCACCTGTAACACTTCTTTGCACCAAGCAGAGAAATGTGTGGATTCAACTGCTTGCTCTGGAATATCTCTCAAAGAAAGATCCTGTAGGTGTTTGTGTGTGTATGAGATAGGAAGAAAACAGAACTTGCTTTCAAATCTGTACAGGACCCTTGTGCATGCTTTCGATGAACCTGCCTCATTTTCCCCTATGGGAACTACATCAGCAGGCAGAACTGCACTGTATCTGACTTCAACCCTCACAGCAAACACCACCTGGGACCTTGTCTGCATTGCACATACAGGATGAGTCCCTCTAATTGTATCTGAAGGGGCGGGTTAAGAAAAGTACATGGAACAAAACTCCATTTATTTCTTGTCAGAGAATATCATGCATCCCACAGGGAGCTCACAGCTCTCCCTAATTGTCCTATTTACTTCAGAAGATCCCAGGATGACTCCTATTAGCATGGGCAGTTATTTCACCTTCGTTTCTTTAGGTCACTTAAATAAACAGAGCAACTCTTCACTGCAAACCCAGTGTTTCTGCTGAAACCGTTCCCTGAGCCATAAACCTCAATATCTAGCCCACTGAATAAAAGTGTCTGCATGTATGTATATATCCATAAATACGCAAGAACCTTCCTCTAAAAGTATGCACACTGAGACAGTCAGTTTCAAAAGAAAACTAAGACAAAATCCAACTTACAAAACACCCACACTCTTCTGATATTTTCCACAGTAGTTTTCTAGTCCATGGGAAAAGAAACTTTAATGGCAGATTGCAAGTGAACATGTCAAAAGGACACCATGGTACCTATGTAGAAAGTAAGAGAACTGGGCACCAAGAAAACCAATCAATTTCAGACATGCCGGGAATTACATGCTGGTGCAGTGTGTGTGTGTGGATTCCTGTTATCCCACTCGCATAATGCTGCGGAGAGGTCAAGAGTTTCTTTAAAACAAACAAGGACAAAAAACCCTCTTTAATAGACCTGAACTGCCTATCGCACAATGCCAGCGACATAACACTTGGGGTATGAGAATTAGTTGGGAAAGCACCCAAAGATACAGCACTTGTATTAAATACCTTTTGCCAACCAGGGGTATTGGTTCAAGTCTATTATTATTTTTCAACGTATCAGTATCTTCAGAACACTTTAGAAAGTCTCATTCAGACACTGCTGCAAATTCAGCATCCCGCTTTCCCCACATTTTCTATTTACAGTTACCATGCAGAGGACCTGCCAAAGTTGCAATTCAAGCAGCGAGGCATGCATGCACAAATCCTACAGCATCCCACCACCGAGCAGAAAATTACTTCCCCTGACCCAAATCGCTCCTCGTTGTAGCAGGGTTAAAAACTTTACAGCTGCATAAGAAGACAACAAGATTTCTACTCACAGATTACCCACTCCCGCTTTTCTTTGCGGCAGCAGCAGGGCACAAACCAAAATGCCTTTGCATCTTCAAGAGCTGGGTCTTGCCTGCAAATTCCCGTCAGCTTTTGAGAAGAGCTGGAGCAACGGAGGATGAATCTGGCGCTTATTTTGAACAAATTTTCTCTCTCCCTCTCTCCACTGCGCTCCATCCCTCCTCAACTAGCTGGCAGTGAGGATGGGGTCACGTCCTGGACCAAGCTTTTAGGGAAGTTTCAGGCAACCGCGTACTGTGTGCATGCACTGGGCCCTCCATTAACGCCGACCGAGGAGGAAAAGCTGGAGGGAAACAACCGAGCCCTCCACATCTCACCTGCCTGAGCCAAAACAAGCCCCACGCTGGTGGGGACCAGCGTGTCTTCCCTACTCCCTTGTCAGTCTCCCGCGTCCCGGCGCAGACACACTTCCCCGCATCTCCACACCAACTTCCCAAACTCTTGACACAAAGATTGGTCACTGCCGCTGCCGGCTGCAGGAGGGGGGGAAAGCCCTGCGCCCCGCCGCTCGCCACAGCCATCCTCCCAGCCCCGGGCCCCCTTCGGTTCACTCACCGCGGTCTCCAACGGAGCAGGCTGGGGAAAACACAAAGATGCCCCAAACGAAGGGAAGCAACAAAGAGGCTTAACTCCAGGAGCTGGGAACTTCCAGGCCGGATCTGCGGGGAATTCAGCACACACACACACACAGAGAAAAAAATAATAAAAGAGAGGAAAAGAGAGGGGGAAAGCCTGGTTTTGGGGTAGAGGAAAGGGGGGGGGACGTTGGTTTGGGGTGGTGGTTGTGTTTGCTCTGCGGGTTGCCGCTGGGGATGGGGGGCCGCCCTGAGCTCAGGCGCGGCGGGAGGAGGAGGAGGGAAGAGGCGCCGGGATGCTGGAAGCCAGACCCTCCATACGGGAGATGGCTTTTGGATGACTGAGCTCCCAAACAATTCCCCGCTCCGGCTACTCCTGCCCCAGAGCCTCCCTCCTCCCCTCCCCCTGAGGAGGAGGGAAGAAGAGGAGGAGCCAGAGGCGGGAGAAAGCGCAAAATAAACCCCCTTCCTCAAAAGCCTGGCAGCGGCAGACCCGTATTCTCTCTTTGCCCCCTCCGCACCCCCGAACGCTGGCCGGCATCATCTGGCGGGTGCGTGCCCCCGGAGGAGGCGGCTGGGGCGTCTCTCCACCGCCCGCCATGCTCCCCGGCAGGCGGAAGCGGGAAAGTTGGGACGGAAAGTTTGGCCTGGGCGCAGGGAGGCGGCCCCGCCGCTGTGGGGAACAGGGGCCTGGGGACGTGCCCCCTCCCCGGGCCCGGAGAGTGGCAGCCTCCAGCCCTTATGGCTGAAGTGGTCACCCCAGCCAGGAGCAGCGGCTCACGGAGCCCCCCGAATGTCCCTGTACCGGCGGCCATCCTGCCTCATCCTGGCTGTGAAACTGGACAGTGGTGGGGCCTCGGGCAGCCGTTAGTTGTAATGAAATGGGCTGCTGATAAACATCACCTTATGGCAGACCTCCCGGGAGACCTTCCCTTCTTCCCGAGAAGGACCAGCCCCAGGAAGTTGTGTAGAAGTTGCTCCCGCCACCTGTGGAGCTTCCCAGGGAGAGCCTTTTTTCTGTACGCCTGTCCCTGCAGCGCCAGGCACCTGCTGGAAGGATGCCGGAGCAAGCATAAAGAGTCATAGAACAATCTGGGCTGGAAGGGACTTCCAAAGTCATCTACTCCAAGCCCCTACAATGAGCAGGGACATCTCCAACTAGATCAGGTTGCCCAGAGCCACATCCAGCCTGGCCTTGAATGTCTCCAGGGGTGGTGCACCCGCCACCTCTCTGGGCAGCCTGTGCCAGTATTTCACCACCTTCATTGTAAAGAATTTTTTCCTCACATCCAGTCTGAATCTCCCCTCCTTTAGTTTAAAACCATCAACCCTCATAGCATCAACAGGCCCAGCTAAAAAGTCTCTCCCCATCTTTCCTATAGGCCCCTTTAAAGAACTGAAAGGCCACAATAAGGGCTCTCTGCAGCCTTTTCCAGGCTGATCAACCCCAGCTCTCTCAGCTGTTCTCACAGGAGAGGTGCTCCATCCCTCTGATCATTTCTGTGGCCCTTCTCTGGACTCCAACAGGTCCATGTCTTTCCTGCGCTGAGAACACCAGAACTGCACACAATACTCCAAGTGAGGTCTCACAAGAGTAGAGGGGCAGGATCACCTCCTTTGACCTGCTGGTCACGCTCCTTTTGATGCAGCCCAGGATGCAATTGGCCTTCGGGGCTGCAAGTGCACACTGCCAGCTCATATCCAATCTCTCATCCACCAGTGCCCCCAAGTCCTTCTCCTCGTATGTGGGCTGCTGGGTGGGATTAGGCAAGTCCTGTCATCACGTGCCTCAGCTTCCCCAGTTGTGTGGCTGAAGTTCAACCATCTGGATCAGGACATCAAGACACCTGAAGCAAAAGTGAAGACAGGGAAGGAGAGAAGGAGGAGGAGAAATGACCATGCAAAAGCAGAACTTTGCATGCATCCAAGTTAAATAGGATGCGTCCAAATAATTCTTTCAAATTGCAGTTCCCCCCCAGCACAGGGGCTAATTTTTTGCTAAATGGAGACAGTCCCTTTCCATGGAGGTCAAACAGTCTATGTGTGACTTTAGCTAGTTGCAAAGAAGGTGACTGACTCCTTTTCCTAAACCATGAGGTGTGCAGCTTCTCTGGGGGTGACATGGAGAAAACCGAGACAAGAAGGCAAAGATCTTTTCCTCCATCCATCCATCCTGGCAGGTTCTTGCTTTCTGGGAAAGCATCTCAGGTGCAAACTTTTACTAAAAGAAATGACACCACCCTCTGGGATTAAACCAAACCAGCTCCTGCTCACTGCTTCCTCCCACATCAAAGGATAAATATATGCCACAAAACATGGATTTACCCAGGGGTGCAGGATATACTCCATCATTCAAAGCCTTTCAATAAAGGGCTTTGTTTCTTTGGAACAAACCTGCTGTCACTGAAAGATTGGGATAGGTTTCTCAGATCTATGCCATGCAGAGTATAGCTTGTAAATATGATCTGTAGTTTCTAAATCGGAAGTCCTTCAGTCAGAGAAGGTGAAGGAGTTAAAGTTTATTCTCATGTCATCATTAGTTTCCAGGGTTATTGCTGCTTAGTGGCAATGTAGGAGGGGCCTGTGTTCCTGGATTACCCATTTCTCACACGTAAGGATGATTTGAAGGATTGGTTTTTTTTATATTTGGAGTTGGGTTTCTTATTTCCTTGGTTTATGACAAGGATACTGAAAATGTCAAAACTGGTTTTTCCACAGAGTTTCTTCTGTTTCAGGGGAATAGGTATTGATGGCTCTTCAACTTGCATTTGAATGGGTAGGCTTATCAGGTTGAACACAAACTTCCTTCCTCTGCAATGTTAACTTTGATGTCTAATTATCTTTTAAATAACTGCTTCCCAGATTACAAGCTTTCCCTTAGCTGCTCTGTAATGCAGTCCTCAGGTGCTAAATCCATATGTAGACACCTCACTAAGCGGCCTAATTTTTAGAAGTGCTAAGACCTCTAGCACCTGCCTTGTCTGAAACACAGTGGTTTCCTAATTTAGAACAGTCGTAAACTGTCCTAAATTAAAGCAGGAATTGAATTAGCCCTGGCTAGTTTGGGGCTTACAGAGGTGGGAGGAAAGTGGTGAGGGAGCAGAATTGGAGCTACCTTGTACAAAGAAGTGCCCTGGGGCTTGTTTAACACTAGGGGAGAAAAAAATAAGACTGCAGCCCTGCAGGATTACATTCCCTGTTTATCCCTGGGGGTAGGGGAAACACAGGGTGCTTCTCTTCCCACCTGCCCCCATTGTTAATGCTGGAAGAAATGCCGTGAGACAAAGCAGGATGTTTGATACAGCCATGTCCCCTTGGCATCCCCAGACAAGCCAGTGGCTGTTCTGCCAAAGGGCAGTTGCCTTAATACTGTACTGGGGATGGTGGCTCTAGGCTGGCTCTCATTTATTTCAAACTACCCACCAGAACTGACTTCCAGGTGCCACTGGCCTGGCTGAAGCTAGGAGTAGTGTGAAAGCCAAATCCCCTGTTCTTTAGCCCCACTCCCTCAGCCGTAAGGAAGAGTTTACCATGGACATTGCCCAGGTGCAGCCTGTGGCTGTGGGGAGGACGTGTTCCCCTCAGGACGTGCCAGAGCCCCCTGATCCTCAGCTGCCAGCTTGCCCGGATCCGTCCCATCCATTTCTGATCCCAGGCGAAATTCCCACTGCTGCCGCCATCAAATGCAAAGGCTCCTCGTTGGAGCCACAAAACCTCCAGCTGTTTGATATTGTGCGGAGCAAGGCAGGGGGCATGGAGGGACTCCGCATGAAAGGGCGAGCTCAAAGGAAACCGGACCCTGGCATGTCGGCATGATACTCAGTGGGTAACAGGCTCAGTTAAATTTGCTCATTCAGCCAGCTAAGAGGGAGAGTTTTCTCATCTGTCCTGCTATGTTTAATTCATCCACACATGCCTCCCAATTACTGCAGGAGTAATAAACAGAAAGGCATGTTGGGGGCAGGGGGAGGAGCTGTTTAAGCCCCAGCCACCAAACCTAAGCACCCCAAAAAAGTGTGAGCAGCACACTGCTGGTATGTGTCATCCCGTGGGGAGCCCATCAGCACCCTTGTTCCAAGTCCTTCTGAATTTTAGCTCAGCTTCAGGCCTGTTTTCTGTTGTTTTGTTTATTTTTCCTCCAGAAATGTACACTGCAGGTGGTGTGCATGCAGAGTTATGCTACCAAGAGTCCATGCCTGCTGCCGAGTGAGGCAAAACTCCCAAAAAAATCCGTATGGCATCCCTGCCTCCGTGGAAGCTCCTGTGCTCACCCACAGGTTTTTCTAGCTCTGACTCTTTGCAAAACTGGAAAATTGATGGATGCAATTGAGCTATGGAGCCAAAGACAAGATGGAGAAAACGCTCATTCACAGAGGGAGCTCAAAGCTGTCTGACCATATCGTGAAAGATTGATGGTGGGTGAAAGCAAGGATGAGGAGCTGATGACTGTCTCAGCCCCAGAAGCGGGCTGGATTGAGGGCAGCAGCCATGGGCCAAAGGGACAAGAAATTCATCCTGTGTGTAGTGGGGAGGAGAGGAGAAAGACTCACACTGGGGAGCGACATCAGTGGGAAGCCCCTGGTTCAAAGGAGTTTCAACATGAGTTTTACTTTGTTTACCCTCTTGTAAAGCTATTTGTTACTTCGATAATCCATAGGAAATGGGATCATTTCTCTCTCGGCATGTCAAATTAAATAAACAAATAAAACCTTGTTTGGCTGTTGAGAAGCTTAGAAAGGAAAGTGTATTTGTACAGGGATTCAGGAACTAAGCATCTTTCAGGAGCAGAAGATTAGGAAAGAAATCAGAGAAACAAAGGGGGAAGTGATTCAGTCATCAAAACTCAAGAGAGCCAAAAAAAAAGAGTGGAGGGTGGGATGGGAGGACAAGAGATGGGCCTGACTATATTAGGAAAGCTGTGCTGGTGTAAACTAAAGCAGCCGATGCCAGTTTAGTTTTACCACTAGGGTCTAAGTCAGGGACATAAACTGGGTTGTGACAAGCTCACCGTCACGTCAGAAATACCATTTGTGCACTGAGGTTTATTTTATTTCAGGATATATACATTACCCTTCACACACAAACACAAATGCGCATGAGGGTAATGTATGTATTCTGAAATTAAATAGATCTTGGCGAACCAGTGCTAGCTCTGCCTTCTGTGGGAGAGGGGTTGGCAACAGGATTACTGGTACAGTAAAAACAATATAAAAGAAATGTATCCCCACAAAGGTATCATTCTCCTTCTGCGCAGTGATAGGTATATTCGTATAAAATGTTTTACATATGGATACAGATGTGCCTATGCTCTGTAGTATGTATCTACAGGAGATGTTGTAAAGAACTACCATTCTGTTTGTAGTTGGTTCATTGACAGGAAATATTTGGACAGTCAGTAGGCTCCCAGGTGTATGAGATGACCCAGTTGAGGTCCATTTGCTTCCTTGTCTTAAAATGTTCAGGGATTGGCAGTCAGAGAGATCCTCTTGTGTATGGGGAGTGTTTTACAGTGTCACTCAATGTTTTGGGTGGAGGACAGGGTCTTTAAGAAAATGTTTTGTTAACTGGAAATTATCAAATGCAATGAGTAAAACCATTTGCTTGATTAAGGAGCTCAGGGAAATGCCCTAAATAAATAACTTCTCCCCCCCCCTTCCTGCAGGATCCTGCTTTCCTTTCTTAGAACTTAGACAACAACTCTTCTACAGTATAAAACTTCTCATGCAGTGAAAGCCAAGGCAACCACATTTGCGATCATGACCACACACCTCACTGCCAGTGCTGGATGATGGAAGTCCTAAGACTGAATATAAGAGCAGCATGAACCTGTTGTGTGCAAGAAGAGGTAGTACATGCCCTCCATGGCTCATCACCAAACTCCATCTCAGGGTTAATGGTGAGAAATGCTCCCTTGATGGACAGGACATAAAAACAAGAGCGTGCTTATCATCTTTTCCTATGACAGTGTTGCTGTGTGCTGTTAAATAGGTCTTGTATTTTACCCCACTGAAGGTGACATTTCAGCAGCAGGCAGGTCTTCGATTGAGAAGTTATTTGGAAACTTAGGGCGTGTGTGCAGTGGATAGACAGGATAGGTTGTTATGAAGTAGTTCACCCTTCCAAGTGCAGATGGGAACTTAGGTGCTGAAAATAAGGTGTTCTGGGTAAAACGCAATAGATAGAATGGATAATTTCAAATGAACAGTTTGAATGTCAAGTTGGAGGAGATATATATGTGCATATGTGCAATATAGATGTGTTAGCGTAGGCATTCACATTATGTGTATACTCTTGTCTGCAACATCACCAGTTCCTAGAAAACCATGGCTTCTTTTGGTGTGTGTGTGCACACCTTCGGCTAGGAATCATGGTAGGGAGTACGAGATGTTTGTGCAGTATCAGGTCGGGTGACTTTTACCAATCCTTTTCCCCTGATACCCATTTGAAGCTTGCAGATTTGTTGGGAAAAAAAGCATTTTTTTCTTCTCATGTTAGATGAATCCCTTATTTTCTCTGTGGAGACTATACATGGAAACCTGGTGCTACAGTTGTCAATGGGTGTCTTATTCCCATCAGTACAGAATTGACTCGGTTTAGGATTTCACACTTTTTGCTGATTCCCTTAATCTGAAGTAAGTTATTGAGGGTTTACAGACATAAGCAGTCAAGGTATGGAGACATCTTGAAGGTGTTCCAGGTTAATGCTGAAGTCTGAAAAGATCCCTTTAGCTGGGGTACAGTCCCTGAGTAATTACACTTCTGTGAAATAACTACCTGTCATATCTATCAACAAGGGAGCTTACATTTTAAGGCACTCAGATCTCCCTTTACATCACGTTCACTCTTTGTTGCAGTCCATTTATTCATCTATTATTTACCTGTAATCTCTCCTCCTTCACCACTTTCCCACACACCTGTTGCCTTTCCTTCTTTGTTTTTCATTGTTTGTGGCTAGTTCTTCCCTGTCCCCATAAACAGCCCTCAAACAGGTCCCTAGTTTCAGCAAGTGAAAAGCTTGGGGATCCCCAGTCTCCCGGGCCCCCGCTGGCCCTGCATCTGTCCCCGTGCCCCCCCACTCAACCCACCGCCCACATCCTGAGCATGAAAGCCGTCCGGATTAATCCAGCACAGAGCACATTGTGTGTGAGTCATGACAGGCTCACTAAGGCGTGCAGTGCTGATAAAAGGCAGCTCTGATGGGCTCTGTCAGGGATCCCGGAGAAACAGCGTGGAAAAAATCCGCTAACCCACATCCCAGCCTGGCGGCTGGGGCCTGGAGACAGCCGGGCATCGAGGGGAGTGCAGGGAAGCCCCCACAGTGCTGACAGGTCCTGCTCTGGGCTCAGCCCGTGGGGAAGCCCCTGGTCCAGGGCATGAGGATGGTGCTTCCTGGGGACCTGGAGTCAGATGGGGCTAACTCAGGGCTTGCATGAGCACTCAGGTCCTGAGGATGCACCCTGGATAACTCCTTCCTCCCCAGAGGGACCACCTGGCCAGAGAATATTCCTGACCTCCCAAGAATGTCAGAGGTGTCACCCTCCCTGAACCTACCTTCTCCACCTATGCCCCAGCAGCTAGCCCATCTGTGAGACTGCAGGAGACACTGCCTCAAGACGGGGCTGCTCCTTGCTGCACTTTTGTCTAATTCAGAGATGCACCTCTCAAAACATCACTATTTTCCCAACCTGCAGTTTCCCTTTCTTTGTTCTTTACTCCTAGTATGATCCTACTGTATAATCCTCAGCAGTATCTCCAGCTCTCCGTTGTTAAGCCTTGCAGGCACTGACTTCTGAACCATTTTATGTCTCTCTCCTTTGGGTCAATCTGGCTGTGCATTGCCTATCTGCAGTGTCCTTTTAATACTCTCCTCTCTATTGTTGCATGGTGTCTCCACTGAATACTGTCATCTTGCCACAGACTGGAGACTGTGTAAAAGGCAAAAAAGAGAAAGAGTTGCTCTTGCAGCTCTGTGGCTTTGTGCTTATATGCCCTGATCTGTCTTCTCATCAGGCTGTGCACACATACACTTCTATTGCATTTTAAAGAGCAGGGTAGCATAGCACCTTCCAGTCATTTCTTTGTAACTTTAGGAACCAGGTTTCCTTTTAGAAAACAGAATTGCAGCTGATAAGGAGGCCATGGTGCTCAGGAATTTTCAGTTTCTGAGGACAAGGGTTAGATGAACTTTAAAAGGTTCTACAGCTTAGCGTTTCTGATCCCTTTTTAAACTAAAGAACAAACTAACCTTTCAGGGGAGAAAAAAGAAATCCACAGATACTTTCTTGGCATGATACCACGCAGCAGCCTGCGGTTATAGCCAAATAAAAATCAGGCTAAGCTTTGAAATTCTGCATTTTTTTCATTTCTGCCAGCTGCTTTTATTTGTCACCATTTCATTTGATGGCATGTGTTAGATATTGCATGAGGCATGAGTGCATGGGTGGGAATTTGGAGAAGGATGCTGTAATCCACTTGCAGACCACCTTCTGAAGTCTTGCAAGCCATGAAAATACTCACAATCTAGTCTGCCCTGCTGCATGCCAGACCATGCTAAACTCAAAACCCGTTTAATCCCCTTTCCTGACTGATGTAAGCCATACCTAGAAGCCTCTTGTGGAAAGCAGAACACAGGCTTAGGGAATGGATGTTGGCTGCAATCTTTTCCCTACAAATTGAATTTTACTCTGATACAGTTCATCCCATTACTTCTGAGTCTAATATTTTCAGACAACCTCTGCAACCTCTGCTTGGCATTTACAGGTCTTTGATCCTCTCTGTTGGTCAGACAGATACAGTGGGTCTGGGCCCAATTCTCCCTTAGTTAGCCGGGCGTAAACGCCTCTGAATTCACACCATCTAGATGCAATGTAACATGAGAAGTGTGTGAGGCCCTTTATTCTCCCAGCCTCCCCTCGTAAATCAGCTCCTGCAGCAGCACCTGAAGTCATTTTCGCAAGACCAAAGCACGCATGGAGAACCTTTTGTCAGGAGTCCAGGGAGATCAAATGGTCTCAGGAGGTTTGCTGTTCCCTGCAGTGCTGCAGGCAGCTCGGCCGGGGTCGCTGAGCGTGAGGATCGTGCATCGCACAGCCTGGCGCCAGGAGGACGCACAGGAGGAGGATATTAAGCCACAGAGAAATCGTAGTCGCTTCTGCTTATTGCACTGACTGAGCAGTATGACCCCAGCTGAGGGATCAAGCGTAATCATATTTCTGTTTCATCTCAGCAGCACACAGAGCCAGTTTATCTGCCCAAGAGGTTTCAAGTTATACTGGCTTTCTGGTGGTGAAACTTTCCCGTGGGACTCAACTGCCGAGCAGCTTTTTTTTGGTGGGCCTTTCTTCAGTGTCTCTCGTGTGAGCTGGAACAAGAGTGAGATCCCCTCCCACCAGAGTGACTCCTTGCCTGTTTCTCTTGGTGGCAGAGACAAAGACACAAGATTCCTCACAACTTTTACAGTGTCTGTATGAAGGATGAGCCAAATATTGGTCCCAGCATGGTCCCGTGACTCTAAACGCATGATACTGAGCAGTACTGAAGTTGCTAGGTGGAATTGTGCTATGGTACATGCCACCCCATCCCTCACCTTCCTCTTCCTCCACCTCAGCGTGTCCTTGTCCACTCTCCTTGTGGGGGGTAGAGCCAGATTAGGGGTACCTATATGCCGGAAAGATAAACAAATGGCAGCCTGGAGGCCCCTAAGTCATCTTACGCTGCTGTTACTGGGGTGTGTGTTTCTTAGGGGGTACTTCACATTTTCCAGTCTGGTGCAAAATACTTCCTTCTGTAGCGCCTCTAAAGACTTTTGCCAACCAAAAGCCAGGCCCCAGACCCCTGCCTCCTGCTGGCAGCGTGCTGACTTCTGCTCAGGACAGCCTTCCCATGGGTCAGTGACTGGGCTCCCTGCAGGGGAAGCATGACACTGGTATAAAACACAGCACAGCTTGGCCAGTTTAGTTCCTGCTACCACCATTATAATCACTGCAAAAATAAATACATCTCTCTACTGATGAGGTACTCGTCAGATAAGTTTTTTAAATAATGCATTTGGGGAAAATCAGAACCTACCTTGCTTTGTGAAAGACAAGTCTGCCAGAGCTGTGATTTTCTAAGGACCCTGAAGGACCTGAATTTCCTTACTGAACCTCAGTGGGATTTGGGGGGTGGGGTATGTGTTTCTTCCCTCCCTCGAATATTCAGGCAAGTAGTCCTCAGACATCTCTCTCCTGCTTGTCAGTCTTTGGCCTCTTTGTTTATTTTTTGCACTTCTCCCAGCCCGGACAAGGCAAACAGGCTAGTCTATTGTTGGTGTGCATCTCTTTCACTGCAAGATTTGTTTATGTCTTAGCACAGTGATGCAATATTTGGGTTGAACGCTTCAAGGGAAAATGTTTATAGAGCTAAAAAAATATTTCCATTTGATTTGTTTATAGGAAGTTTTTGCTTGTGGTCTTGGGTTTTGAAAAGGCCTTCGCATGTTTTCTTTTCCGCCTCCCCCACTCCCTCTTTGCAGATTTGAAGTTTGGAGTCAAATTCAATCATGATAATGCCATGACTGACTCTTTAGGTATTTCTACCATGCTCAGCTCTACACCACTGAAGTATCTTCATTCTGGCCTCCTAGCTCTTCTCAATGATGTCATCCTTCCCGTTTGCTGAGGTTCCCGAAGCCCCTCTGCAAGGCTGAAGGGTTTCCAGCCTTGGATTCCAACAACTCCCCTTTGCTCCCAAATTGCCTCTGACCTGGACCAGCCCTCAGGCAGGGCAGCCTACACTATGGGGGAGAGTTGGAAGAGTTAAATGGGAGCGTTGCTTAGAAGGAAAAACAAAAGAGTAATGGGAAAGGCATCTTTGTGTGACTGAGGGCTTAACCAAAACCAGGCCTTCTCCTACACCCCAGCCAGGAAAACAAGGCAGTACGTGCAGGCAGCCACCGGCAGAGCGTGTGCGGGTGTCCTCCTCTGCCTCCGAGCATGTAGGCAAGGCACAGACACTCGCAGACAGAGGGAGGGCACTCGCTTATTTCTGTGGCCCCCGGGGCATGTGGCCTCCCTTGTCCCCTGCTACTGCACAGCAGCACCCGGCATGGGGTGTGCTTCCTGCCACCACAGCTCTCGTGCCCCTCGTTGCACATCCGCTCCCTCCTGTCTGCCCCTCTCCCATCTACTTGGTGTTGCTTACCCGGAGGAGTCTGTCCTTCTCTGTGTATTGCATGTCTGACTGGTTGGAAACATTGAGTGCTGCAAGGCTGCCTCCTTGCCACACTGAGCAAATGAACAGGATGCTGAAAGGATGAATGTCACAGTTACTGGCATTGTAGAAAGTGCTTCAGCAGCCCTGGCTTTGGAGAATTTACGGTGTCACAGCTTGCTGGCAAGAGGCATGGAGGGGACAAAAGGAGGTGCTGGCTTTCTCTGGTGCCTTGAAATTCTGCCTCCTTGTACCAAAACCCATCAGAACAGCCACAGAGTCCCTCCAGCCAGTTCAATGCCCTGCTAAGGGATCCCAGTATCATCCATTGCCAGTCTTGTTTCTCATGCCAGGAGAAACCATCACCACCTTTACCTTGTTATACATGTACCTGCCTGGGGGAAAACAACAGAGAATGCAGAATGTAACGGCATGTCCCAAAACCTTTGAACAAACAAATAGTGTTTTCCCTCAACATCTCCCCCACGCAGCTCCACACCTCTGTCACCACAGTTTGAGAAGGTGGCTGACCCCTGAGCCCAAGCGCAGGTCACTTTCCATGAGCTCATTAACCAGCAGGACTTCACAGACCATCATCTGGCAACAGCCAGTGTAGGAAAAATTACTCTTGGAGATGTTTCCAGCAACATCCAGCTGCTGCCTGCACAGGAAAAGCATGAGATCACTGGCTCAGAGGAAGCCTTGGTTCCCCCAACCCCTGCCCATCAGCAGGTGGCCCTAAGAAGAGGAATGGCCTGTGAGTGCTCTGGCAAGGGGGAACCTCGCCTCTAGGTGTTGGGGTGGCACCCAGATGAGTAACTAAGAGCCAGCCAGTGCTTTGCTGGTGAGAGGGCTCTCCTTCAAGGGGAGGCTGTGGTCAGTGATGGGTTTATCCCTGAATACCCCGTTTCAGAACCATGCCAGCCACTTGCTGCCTGCAGCTCCCCATGGCCCTCGGTCCTGCTTCCCAGCAGACAGCCCTGTTACCACCCAGCACAGCCTTCGGCTCCCCCACCTGCCTGTTCCTGCTCCCTAGAGCTGAGATCCAGCAGAAGGGAAGAGCAAAGGGAATGAACAGGCTGGCTCTGGCCCCTTCCATAAGGTAGGGAATGGAGGACAAACTAAAAGAAAATGCACAGCATATTTTTCTGCAGAGATGACAGGACAAGCATACAGTTGCCAACCCTTGTTCTGGAGCACAAGAATGCTTTCAAACTCACTCTGACAGTCACAGTTTCTTATGGTCAGCAGTATCAATCACTCAGAGACATGTTCTGACTGTTGTGCCCATGAAAGAGCAGGAGGTTTCTGGGAACACAAAGGCCACACTACAAGTATGTTTGCTCTGTCCTATTAGCTTGGGACCGAGGTTGCCTAAGAGTCACATGCTCCTGTGCATCCATGTACCTTGGCTGTTGCCCGGAGCAAGCTGGCAAGGGAGCAGGGGTGTCTCTGCTGAGTGCAATATCAAGGTTTTCCTCAAAGGTATCTGCAAGGCTGGGTGAAGAAAACTAAGGCTAATACATTTTGTAGAGTCCTGGCTTGATTATCCGGTCCTTGTGCCTACAACACACACATGGGCCTTCATAACTGGTACATGCTAGCCTATCTTGGCTCTTCAAGTGTAGGATACCACATCATTGTGTTGTTAGGGATTTTAGTGCACTGGGAGCCAGATGGAGGAGATGACCAAAGGAACACGAGGGCAAGGTAGACCAAAGTGCATGCCCAGACACTGTAACCACAAGCCTTGGTCAATGAGGGGAAACCAGGAAGGACATTGCTCACAAGCAGTGGCTTACCGCACACTTTCATGCCATCTTTAGTACCTTCTTGGAGCCGATAACTGCATCCTCCCAGGAGGGGAGGTATATGGGTCACACCGACTTGGTACAGTAACTGTGTCCCCTTCAGATGACTGTTGCACATCTGTTTGTATGTTGCTGCTGGATGCTAGATGGTGGTTCCTAAGAGTGGCAGAAATAGCTTATTTATTCTGTTTGGCATCTATATCCATTCCCTCTTAATTCTCTCTTCTCCTCCCAACCCATAACTCCCTCCAAAAAAAAAAGCCAAGCTAATGCCTTCCAGATGAGGTGCTAGAAGCTGCTAATTGCACCCGGATCCATCCTGATTTGTGCTTCAGTCAGCAAGGCACCTCGCTAATGTATCTGAAACTTGGCAGTGGGCCTGGGACCAGTGTCAAAGGAAATGGATGAGAAGGAAGGAGAGAGCAGAGGGTTAGAGGGAGAGCAGGGAGACCCAGAAAGGAAAACGATCCCTCCTCCTCACAGCAAGGCATTGAATCCTGATAAGGGCTTGTGGTTGTCCCCCAGGGCGAGGTGGTCGTGTGTGGGATGGCAGCAGCACAAGCACATTGCCTTCTCCTGGTGGAGACCCCGCGCCTGTGCTTTTGTGGGGAGGCCGGTGCTCATGTTGGGGCAGCAAGGCAGGGCTGCGGCACACTTGGGCTTTGCCAGCTCCTGGACTGGCTTGAGCGTTCTTGGTGCAAACCTGGAAGCCAAGAGCTGGGAGCCAGGGCATGAGCCTTATCTGCTGCTCCCTGTTGATGTGGGGCATGTCACACCTCATGGGCAGCTCCCAGAAGAGGCGCCAGCTGGGGTGATTGTAGGTGGGCTGGAAGTGCAGAGGAGAGAGAAAATGAGAGGGAAGAGGGGTGGGGAGGTGAGAGCAGGCAGGGCAAGAGATGAAACAGGCTCAGAGAGGAAAGAGAGAGAACAGGAGGTACCACAAAGGGAAAAAGCAAGGAGGAGAAGTGAAGGCTGGAGAGTAAGGAGATGGGGTAATTTATGTCCATCTTTCTCCTGTGCAGCCTTCCACACCCACAGTGCTATGCTAGCAACCAGATGGGGCTGCAGCCTCCAGACAGACCCCACACTCGGGGAGCTCCAAGGGGACCATGCATGCTGTCCTGCCCAGGAGCCCTGGGACCCCACTGCAGAGCTGCAGGGATCAAGAGCTTTCTATCAACAGACAAACCCCCAGACGATTCTCTTCAGTGGCTTCTCAGGAACTGCCTGAGGTATGGGTCTGTTTCTGGATGTGTGGAAACCACCAAAACAAAGAGACTTCAGCAAAGTGTACAAGCAGCCACGAGTCTGACTGGGCCTGTCCTGCAGGGCCATGGTGACGCTCCATAGCACATTCCTGGTGATCACAGAGAGGAAATGATAATGCTGACAGCACTGGGGCTTTTCTCTCTCAGTAACTCTTCAAAATGACCTGCCGCCCCAGTTTGATCTACACTGAGAACCTGAAGACCTCCTGTGCTACGTTCTCCAGGCCCTCTGCTTCATCATCATCATAGGGCTGAGGAAAAGATTCGTACTAAGTCCTTGGGGGTTAGCTTGGGGATTAGCTTGAGGGTATGAAGCAACCTCACTTCTGTGTGCTGGAGGGCCCCAGGAGACCACACAGTGGTTGATACCTCTAGCACTAAATCCACCATCTTCCCCAAAGCAGCTACAAAAGGGAGTTTATTACACTCATTTTACTGGCGGAGAAATTAGGGTCAGGAAAGCAAAGTAGTATTTCTTAGGGTTCTGCAAAGAATCTAGGTCCCACCTGGGAAAAGACCTGAAGTTACCTGTAGTCAGAGGGTACCTGTTCTGCTAGACCATGCAGATCTAGCATGAAGAGCCAGCAGAACCATAAAGTCATCAGAGAGGGAAAAACTGCAGCAGATAACTGGGAACAGAGAAGATCTTTGGACCCGCACTGGTGATCCGGATAGATGGGCACTTGGTCTCAACAAGTCCTCTTCATTGCAGAATAAAAGCACAAGGAATACCTCAGTAGAAGG